AGATGGCTTCTGTTTTGCACTTGTTCTCCTTTACCAGACTATATTGTACCTAGAATAAAAAGGCGAAAAAGCAAACAAATTGTAAGATGACATTTCAGCTGCCGACTTTGTTTATCATCCATTCTAAAAATACAAATATGAAAACCATCACCGAAATGCATACCACCTCTGTATATTAGCAAAGGCAGGTGTAGAAATTCATGTGATCTCCTTTACATTTCTACAATAAATCCAGCTAATAAGAATAGTTATTTTGTATTAACTACTTCTACAAATCATAAACGTAAGGTTTTATTATAATGTGGCAATATACTAAGAAGTGCAAAGCATATATAAGGAGTTGATAACCTTTACATGCATCTCACCTTGCCCCCAATTATCTGTTTATATAAACAGACCTTTAATTATCGCTTACAGATTTAGCTTTGTGACTTGTCAGTTATTTAAACCTAAAACTTCCACAGTTAAAGAGATAACACCTGTTATATAATCCCACTTTCAAGGACATTTCTTGCAGGAAAATGAGTTGTGACTAGTACATTTCAAATCCACCCTACCCTAATCATCTGCACATGGTGGAAACTAAATATGGCGGGAAAAGCATTATGCACTCTATATATTCCCCTCTGAAGCAAAATTGATGTAACGGAGTACACGCAATTTCATGTTGAGTAATTTTACTCAAATTTACTCTTACCCTTTCAGTTATTGATAACAACAAATGTATTGGCTGTTGTGTGTAATGATATAACAAAATGACATAATTTGACTATCTACACTAGATATTTGCGTAAAGGAGATCACGTGCTTAAAAAACTAATTTTATTACAAGCTCCAAATGGACATACCCAAAATATCTCTTGATATCGTGTGTTTGGGGTATGATCAAATCAACTTGTATACCTCCCGTATTGATTTTAGACTCTAATATTTTTATTTACTCAAAAATTTGTAATTATTGTTATGAAAATAAACAACCGTAAAGGAGAACACATGATTACGGCGACATGTTATTTTGGATATTTTT